TAGGTGGCGTTTACCTGCTCGCTGCAGATATGGCTGATCACCCCAGCGTGAAGTAGCGATCTCGTCTCCACCAGGTTTATAGGTGGCGTTTACCTTCTCGCTGCAGATATGGCTGATCACCCCAGCGTGAAGTAGCGATCTCGTCTCCACTAGGTAGTCGCCTTTCGGTGCCCACGCCGCGCTCGTGAAGCCCCCTTTCGCTTTCTGTCGAACTGTTACTTACTCCCTCTCCCCTTGACACTCACTTTTGTTTCATTGCTCCATGACTGCTATCTCTCATTTGAATGCACCTGGTCGTTTTCGGCGCCACGTGCAATCAAATAAAATAAAAAAAACAACAACACATTCCAGTTTGCTTCTCCTCAGTCGTTCTTCCACCTCACTGACCAGTCCGCTTGATAGCGCGCAGAGAAAACCCGGCATGTGCCGGTCTGCTGTCGTGGGCTGAGTACCCCCTGCACGCGTCCCAATCGCAACGCGTTGATCTTCCTGCGCCCAACATGGATGTGGGCTGTGTACACCTGGCATACCTCCGAGTCTGCCTAGTCCCCCTCTCCCCTGTTCTCTCGTGGTCTTGCCCTATATCCCGTTTTGGACGCAGCCCCCACAAGGTCAACCCTGGTCCTCAGCGGTACCTATTCATTGCTGAGGGCTCGCACTCTCTGTACCCCCGGTACCAGGCCCAGCACCCAGGCTATAAGAGGACTGCAGTCCCTGGCCATGGACTGCTGGAAAACCCAGGCCCAATGACCTAGCTCAGAGGGGGCCCAGTCGGTACGAGTGGCCCGCAGAGAAAACGGATTTACAACCCTTAGTTGAAGGCCTTTTCCCAGGGTCCATAAAAAAAAACAGCATCGCACCTCAGAATTACCAGGTTCGATCTCAGCATCCCAAATGCATTAATCAGGTCAGCAGCAGTTCCGTCATAGTGGCTCCAGACCTGAAAGTAAGCCACCGTGGCGATTCCGGCCCTGAAACAAATAGCCATGATGATGCTGATCCTGAAATAAATAGCCGTGATGATGTCGACCCTGGAAATAAATCACCGTGGTGCCCGAACCTGAAGTACGCCGATACCGGCTCAGGCCGAACCTCAAACATGTCCGGTACCGAACCTGACATCATGCTGTCGGTCCAATGTAACACGATCCCACGCTGTCCATATCCATGTGGTCATCGTCCATACCGTCGGGCTCAGTAAGGTTAGTAATCAGGTAAATAGGGGGCGCGTCATAGAGAGTTTCGATCATCGGGGAATAGCAAAAAAAAAAGTTAGATCTCAGGGAATTTGATCAAATCTGGGTTCTGAGCTGACGGTGGGTATCCCAAGCAAAACCAGACAAGGCATCAAAAAATCATTAGCTCCTGTTTGTTCCATCATTTTTAATCGTTCTCCCTTTTCCTTAATTCTATTGTCTGAAATAGTGAATTAACCATAGGTTCACCAAAAATGAATTCTGAGGGAGTTTCATCAAATGGTTGAAATTCTCTCTTTTCTTCTCTCCCTTACCATTTTTAATCTTTTTCTATGGTTTTCTATTTCATTGCCGGAAACATAAAATAACGAGGTATTTTTTCCAAAATTTAAATGCCGCGAAAAATAAGGGAACTAAGGGATATTACGTTTTTCTCTTCCCTCCTACTGTTCCCAATCTTTTCTCCCATCTTTGGTTTAGGTACCAAAAATAGACAAAAATTCGAGGCCTCATTTCGGCCCCGGTCGTATGCCGCAAAAACGTTGCGGCGAAGTCAGTTCCCTCGATGCCTCTCCGCGGCAGGTCAATCCGAGTCTAGCTCTCTAAACGGCCAGGAATGACGGTCCCTAGATGCGCCGAGTGTGGCCACTTATCTCGCCATCTTTGAGGGTTACTCGTAAGGCTCAGTGCGCCCAGAATCAGGGGTGCCCTGAGTTCCTCTAATTTTTGCTGCCTGGTCTAACCAGAGTACCGTTAAAACTCAGACTCCTCTTCGCGCCTAAGTCCCAAAATCGTAGATTTCAGGCGGCGCACTGCTTGTGGCCGACTGACAGCGTATCCAATGACCAGCCGGAACTCGCAGGAAGTAGCCTGGTACATTAATCGTTTTTTGTGCATGCATCTGGACGTAGAAGAGATACATATGGACAATGGATCTGAGTTCCAGGGAGAAGCAGAGCGACATCTTGTAAGGGCAGACGTTAGAATTTCATACTCCCCAGGGCACTGGCCCCAAGCCAACGGGCTCGTAGAGAATGTCAACCGAATGATCAAGACTACACTTAGACGGAATATCACGGCAGGTGATACCAGACCCTGGCCTGTCATAGTCGACCACATTTTGGCCGTCTATCGGGCTACTCCCCACGGGAGCACCGGGGTGTCCCCGTTCCAACTGATAACCAATAGCGTCCCCAGAGTGCAGTTGTCACCTCTAGTGGGTACGGAAGTTAGAGTAACCCGGGCCCAGCACAAGGACAAGGCCCAACATTACCTGGATCTGATGGCCTGGACCTATTCCGCGTTAGCCCGAAGACGACAAAGGGTCGTAGATCTCACGCATCAACGACAGATCTGGGACTATGAGAACCGACACGCGACAGCGGGACCAATGCCCCGTTATAAAATCGGGGACTTGGTGCAGGTACGAAAATCTGCGCGCTCCTTCAAGATCCACCCACGCTATACCGGCATTTACGAAGTGACGGAAGTTGGCGCACGAGGATAGCACTCCGTGAAGCTGGTCCCCCGGCATAGCACGCAGGCCACGTCGCTTACACGACACGCGACGGCTCTTCGGCTGTTTCGGCCATCTCCGGGCCGCGAATCGGCTCTTGCCCCATCTGTGCCTTCGTCCTCTCTCTCCTCCTCTCCTTCTTCGTTTTCCTCCTCTTCCCGATCTGCCTCGTCCCTTGGTGCTGAGAGTTTCAGGGAGCAAGATGAACCATCGCCAGCCGGAGAATGAGCCCCTCGAGCATTTCCAGACGCCGCTTGCAGATCGCTTGTTGCGGCATCAGTTCAATGAGGAAAGGCAGTTGTGATACGACATTCAACAGGTGAACGTGCCAGCGCCCGGGGTTGCTGATCTGGCAGCATACTCGTTACTTTGTGATCGGCTGACCTATGCGGGGGTGAACGTGGACGTGACGCAGTTGCCTGGGTGGGAGACGACTCGAGTGTTCATCGAGTTCCGCGCGCTCCAGGTGACACCTAACTTCGTGCATAGCGTCGCCACCTTCATCGAAGACTTGACGATCCTGCCGCAGCCGAGTCGGGAGCTGGCGCGAAGTTTTGTATGCGAATACGTGGTGCAGGCGGCCAGATCAGTGGCCAGAGTGCAAGGACGGGGGGGACACCGATTCACAGCCTACGAAGCACTGTTGCGCAGGGCAGAGGACAGACCAATCGCGTTGGTGCCACAGCTCCCCGCGCTTCTTCCTCCCGCTGCCCCTCTCAACATCCAAGCTATTCCCCCTGCCCCGTACTAAATGCCTCCCTTCTTCTCTTACACCACTCTCCCCTATCAACTCACGGAGGGCCCTTATCCTATGCGCGAGTTCTCTTCTCGGAGTATTTGGTGGAGCTGACTGACGTGGAGCCGCTGCCCTTCGCAGACGAAGACGCGTGGGAGTTGCACCGTGCGCTGTACAAGTCAGTGGCGTTGGGGATGTTCCGATTCTTCGTGGATCATGAAGATCACTGCATCGGGGAGCACTTCGTCGTCTATTACGTCATCACGCGGCCCAAGCCAGCGCAGAAGGAGGGGACGGTGGTGTTATACCCATTCGCCCAGCTCCAGACGACCGATCCGGAATTGTTGGAGCTCATACATCTTGAGCTCCTATCCATTGCGCAAGTGATCGCGAGCGAGGAAGAGGAGATCCAGCCACGATTGCGGACGGCGGCTGCCCCGCGGGGAACGTACAACGTGGTCGTCATCCCGGATTACATTGCGCAGCGCGAGGAGAGGCTGGAGGACTTCCCGGAGGAAAAGCCATTGCGGCCTCCCTCGTCGTATCCCAGACCGGCGCCGCCAAAGGCCCCCAAGAAGACGCCGAAGAGGAAGAAACGCCACCCGTCGCCAGGAGTGCAAGGCAACAGAATCGGTGGCAGCGAGGAGGTGGTTCAGCCCGTGCGCACGCGGAATCTTGACCTCGTGCCTGGGAGTGCGGCGACGCTCGTTAAGGAGACTGTCGTGCCATCGCCGCCCTTCCCGCACATGCCCGATCTCAATCTTGATGGAGCCGGGCCATCAGCAGCAGCAACCGGAGGAGGAAGTCGAATGGGATTACCGGATCCCGTATCCAGACCCCCCGTCCTCGCGGGACCTCTCTGCTTCCGCCAGCCACCCCGGAGTGCCCCGATCATTGACATTAGCAGTTCCTCCGAGCTGGACGGTCCATCCGACAGAGGTGGATTTCATGGTGGAGCCCACCACCATCAGGCTCGAGGCCATCGCGGGGGCACCGCGCCCTGATTCGGCGTGGGAGCCATATCTGACACCCCCTTTTCAAGGGTGTATTGCAGTGCGACTGGCAGGGACGCTCATCTACGAGACCGGGCAGCGTCCCAATGTGATGTACCACTTCCTTGTCTTCGCGGCGCAGAAGCGGGAGCGGCGGCCTTACATCGAGACTCATGTGGTGATGACGGGTCCAGGACCCCGATCGGTGCGCAAGCGGATGGTGTGAGCGGTGGCGGATCTGGCGCCATGTGTCCTGTCTCATGTGTCGGGGGCCTTCCTCTATCCCTCGTTCGTCCAGCACCACTTCCATGAGGAAGACGCGCCGACGACTCCCGCGGCAATGGCTGCTTTTCTTCCACCTATTCCGCCCCCTCTCAATCCCGACATTGATCACTTCCTCTGATCACCCTCGTCTACCTCTCCCCTCTTCTCTCCTTCTCCTTCTCTTCATCATCTTCTTTTCCTATGCCCAAAGTTCGCGCGTCGAGACTCGCTGTATATATATATATATATATATATTAAAAAAATAATAAAAAAATCAATGGACTACTTACCGATCGGGCCAGCAGACGATGAAGGGGCCGCCCGATCGAATGTATAATAAGAGGGAGATGGCTGACGATGCGAAATGCATCGAAATAGGGTAGGAGATGCTCGGGCTTGCTGACGATGAAGAGGCCGCCCGAACATCCAAAATATGATGACATCAGCAGTCGGGAGACTGCTAATTTTTCGGAACCCCCTGCGTATCACAGATGTGATAAGCTCAGACCCGTACCTCGCGGCTTGTCGTATCCCTGAGGAAAAATCCCCCGGAAGCCCCGAAGTACGAATGCGAACAAAAAGGGGGTTTTCTTTCTTTTTGCTTTTGTTTTCTTTTTGAAACGGCTTTTTCATTTTTTTTGGCTAATAACTCCTGCGCGGGCGAATAGCGGCCGCGGTATGAAAACCAAGAAACGGTTTCGGTTGGGACTTTTTGAATTTTTGCGCGTGCACGCCTAAGCTCTGATTTCTTCGCGCGTCTCGCACCCTCGTTTCTTGCTTTGCATCCCCGCGCCATCTTCCTTTCTTGCTGCGCGCGTTTCCCTCAGGCCGGACTCTTCGTCTTCCCCTACGCCCAGCTTGATCCTTACCCCGTCTTCCTCCACGAAGTGATTGGCTGCGTAGTTGGGATGCTTGGATCAATGTGGAAAGAGGGAAACCGCGCACCACTTGAACGAACACCCCAATCACGTAGGACCATGCAATCCCGCGGGTCGAACCCTCTAACTCCCCACCTTTCTCTTGTCCTTCTCATCTACACCCTGCGCTGCCCGCACCTCGCGCTGACAACCCGCCGCCTCCCGCGCTATAAATTCGCGCAACCCTCTCCTCTCCCTCTCTTTGATCTCGGCTGCAATGCTGCGCGATCTATGCGCGAAGTCCGTGGCGCCGAACAGGCTCGACGAGCCCAAGGACGGGCGGAGTGACGACGTGGGGTGGACCCGCGGTAGTCTCGGGGCGAAGCAGTCGGAGGGACCGAGCAGTGGTGGGGATTGGACGCCGGCCGCGGCAGGGTCTTGTGGCGATGGTGGTCGGTGGTCTTGGGAAGTTTTTGAAGGCTACGCCCGGGGGCGGCAGTTAATTAAGAATTTTTGTATACAAGAAGGACTCACTTTTATCTCCACTGCTGCTTTGCCTATGCAAGACGTGTGTGTGAGGCCCCGAGTGATGGGAGCTTGTTGCGCGCATGAGTGATGTCAAAGGTCTACGGATGATTGGATGTCCTGTCAAGGGTTGTTGATTGCATGCATGTATGTGTGTATGTACTTATCCGGGYGGGGACGGAGGAACAGAACTGGGGGACCGTCTGCTTAGGAGTATGAGTGTGTTAATCCCGTTGTTCCCCTCCCTTCCGCGGCCCTTCCTGCGCACACGCGTAGTCTCGGTGTAACTTACTCTCTCTCTCTCCCTCTCGCCTTTTTTTTTCAACTGATAGTCATCGCTTTTGATCTTCTCGTCCCTGCACCGGTGACGTCAACCGCCGGCGTCCGCGCGCGGGGTCGACGCCCCCGCGACGGGGAAGGGAACTTAGATTTATGTTTTGCCGACGCACTAACCTTGAGAGAGAAGGGTTGCGTCAAGTGTTGCATGGAGACGGTGTTGGTACGGATGACCGGGAGCGCAGGGTCTGGCCCGTGTTTATCGCCTACCTCCGATCGTCCCATCTCGCCACCGGCCTTCCCCATCGCAGATGACGACGGCGTCTACTGCGATGCGGATGTACAGCGCGCTTTGAGTCGAACGGAGCAAGTGTGTTGGCGAGACCGGCGGAGACGGGTTCGTCTTAATTGATCGTTTCGATTCCTCGACTCTAATACTGCCTTATACGGGTCTGACTTTGTTGCCCTGGTTTGAGTGTCGCTGGTGTCGCCAGTGGGAATCGTGTTCTTGGCGACGCTTGGTGCTGGGTTACGAGGGAGCAACACGTTTCCCCGAGCTCTCCTGTAACGCGGGGGTGCTGCCCACGCAATTTCGAATTCGGATGTCGGCGAGTCCTCCCGCCGCTTCGCCCTCTCGAAAACTTCCGCGCGGACTTTGTGAGTCCAACGCCGAGGCTTGAAGGCCTCGAACCAACCACCTCTACAGCAAAAACCCATGACGACCGGAGTTTCTGTCTTCCGCCACCATGGCCCTCTCCCCTTGATGCCTTTTCCCGTCCTGATGCACGACGGCAGCTCGTTTTTGCGGAAACCCTTCTGATTTTTATCGCTCCAAAGTGATCCGACCCCCACGGGACTTCGCGACGACAGTTCGACTCCGGGGTAACCTCTGGCACGAAACGAGAGCCTCCCGTTCCGTCTGGGAGACTCAACCACTACGGCCAAAAATCCTCGGCCACGCCCCTCCTAGAACTCTGATCGGCGACCCAGTATGGGAAGCGGCGAGGGGGCATGAGGTTGCGTATCACAGCCCATCCGCCACTTCATAACACCTTTGCCAAACTTATTGTCTAGAACATAAAACATGTGACTCAAATGGTTGTGTCCCCGCGTTAAACGCGGTATAACAGTGCTGGACTGGATGTGCCTCATAGACCACACTTATCTAGAACAACAAGGAAAGGCACTCCCTTGGTGCCAAGGGTGTCTTCAAGACTTCCCGCAGAAGAAGAGAGCAAAAGCGATCGAGCACGTCTGTATGCACTGCCCATCGTCACTCCTGACATGGAGGGGGTGGGATCGGATCTAGCAGTAAATCGCTCTGGACATGACTTCGCCGCAGAAATGGCGGGCAATCCTAACAGGCTATGCACCATAAATGTCTTAGAAGGGTTTTACTGAGAACATATTTTGTATTGGGAGGAGGGCAATCGTGTGGGCACGATGGTGGCAGCGCTGGGTTCTGGTGACGGAAAGAGTGAGGGTGGAGGGGGAGGAGGTGGCAGAGCAAATCAAGCAGCAGAAACCCACATCATTGGAGCAGAAGTGGCGGGCGTTCAAACAAACGTTGGATACGCTTAACACTCGTCAGGACGTTGTGGAGAGAATTACTCAATTCAGCCAGGGGTGGTCGGGGGGGGAACAGGGAAGGAATGGTTAGCAGAAGTTGTCTGGTTGGGGGACACAAGCAGGCGCAACAGGGGCTGGGATGACCAGCGCAGCGAGAGAAGCCACACAAGGATTAATGTATGAAGTTCAAGGAATGGACATAAATCGACCCCAACATTGGACTACGCCCAGCATCCGAGTTTCCGGACCCTTTCCCACCTCGCTCGTTATCCATGGTGAAAATCCTATGAGAGGGCTAGTAGGTGGTATAGACATGAGCAGGGCAGGAGGATAGAGGGATCCGACAGTGCCCCCCGGCGCCCCTACTGTTCCTTGACGCCCGGACCAACTATCTCTAGAACAGACAAGAGCCTGAGCTTACTCTGAGTCTTAGTGTTTTCTATAGTACCCTCCAACAACTGGAATGATTCTGTTGTTGTATAAGGGACGTTGGGTCCGATTTCCAGCAGGTGTTGCTCCCAACCAATAGAGTGGATCCAACAGTGGGGCTGCTAGTGATAGTGGCTCATGTCACCACCACTAGCAGTGCCACAGGAGGTGGTGTCGGGGCAAATACCTTGACAAGGGTGTTTGCTGGGGATTTTAAACGTCGAACAATGTCTGACTTTTTTGTTGAATTGAGGGACTTGATGAGACTGACGTCTGCCAAAAGTTCATTCAAACTAACCTATGACCGAGAGACTGAAACTTTTTTTTTTTACGCTTGCATCGTCCAAAAGTAATGTCAGCAGTCGATCGTTTCTAGCCAGCCGCAGAGAGGCGCAAAAGTGGAAATGCTAAAACTAGTCATGTTCTACCTAAAATAATGACGACCGCCTTAGCAACCACGCGATTCAGAGCAACTGGGCTAAAAAGAATGGATATGTCAGGTATAGGACCGCGACGCAGGAGAAATGGGTCACTTATTTTATGCGTCGGGGCCCGAAGCCGGACTTCTGGCTAAACGGGTGCCTTATCCGGGCGACCGGGCTAAGCCCCAATTGGATAGATGGCGGGGCGACGACCGTTAGGCTAGGCGAGGCAGGATGGGCCTGCCTAGGCCACAAGCTGGCAGATCTTCAAATAGAAGAGTTGTTCCTATCATGTTGTGATAGGAGTTAGCCCAGTAGGTAAACCACCAGCCTTACATCTCACAGGTGAAGGGATTGAAGTCAGTAGGTCTCACTAGGCAAACTCCTTTTGGAGTAGCCGTGGGTAAAGTAGTCCGGTGCGGCTGATTTCGGTCGCACGATCTGCAAGATCACACAGCTTGGAACAACCACGCGGATGAGGCATGGCCCCTGCGCAAGGATGACACACATAAATCGAGAAATGGCCCAATTTTTTTTTCGATCCCAGTAGGGATCGAACCCGGGTTGGTATTTCAACAATTGCGGGGGTGTCCACGATGTGACCTGTGATGTGGCCATTGGCATAAGCTAACGACATTTAAAAAAAAAAAAAAAAAAAAAAAAAAAAAACTAAAACTAAATCACAGGCGAGGCGTCAGTTGGTGCAATCTGAAGTGACTGGGGCACTTCAGTCCCCAATACACCTGACGGTTCCCGTTGTAAATGGGACATCGTTTTTTTTTAGGTTAGTTTTTTTCCTTTTTTTTTAATTTTCTTTAGATTTGTTTTAGATTATTTTTTTTTAGATTCTTTTTATATTCTTGGATTTCTTTGAATTCTCTTTTTCTTTTATTATTCATAGATTTACTATAGTGCCCGTTCGTTTGGACGAACGGGCTGGTACTCCTAGGGACAGGAAGTGCAAAATCAAA